GGAGGGGAGGGGAGAGGAGGGGAGGGGAGACCCCGGATCCAAATTGAAAACCAGACCCGACATCCGCTCATTCATCAGTTGCAGACCCATAGACCTTACCTGAACCCCAAGATTGCTCGGCAGAAAAAAACGACCTTAACCCCAGCCCCATCAAGGAGAGGGCGACTCTAGAGAGATCGGCCTTCTGCCTTGAACATATAGAGCTCAGGGCTACGGAATGAAAATGGACTGAAGGATGAGTCAGAGTTGATATACTGCCTGCGATGGTGCTGGTCCCTGCTGAAGTACTTCCCCTTCCAGACCTGAATTTCCTTATCCCTTCAATTCTGAGATCTTGAAAGTTCTTTCTCAGCTGTGGCATTCTGTGATCGCTTGAGTCTATTAGGCATTTTTGGCACCTTCTTTCTATATAGTATCTAAACACCAAGATTAGGGAGCCGGGAGTTCTTGGTGGAGACAGTTAATTCAACACATATTTGTTGAATGCTTGTTATATGCCTAACATTATGCTAGGTGCCAGAGGTATGGAGGTGAATAAGAGAGAAGAATTTCCAACTTAGGTTTGGTCTGGACAAAGATAAGTTGGCATGCAGCTATAATTCATCATGTTTATCATGATAGCAGCATGCTCTGAAGGCCACAGGAGAGCACTTAAGCCAGACCTGTGGAGCCCCCTTGAAAGGTGAGAACTGGCTAAGTGAGAGAAGGGCAGGGGAAGGAGGAGAAGAATGCTGTAGATAGAGCAGATCCAGTATCAAAACTTGTAGTCAGAAAACAGCCCGAAACCGGCTCTGTGGCACAGCGGCAGTGTGCTGCTCAGGAGCTAGATCCCAGGGGCCTTTCGCAGTTGGCATCCCAGCCCTGTCAGCCTGAAACAAGTAGAGCACACTTTCAGGGTCCCAGATCTAGCAGTCTAGAGGACTGAAAGAAGGGGATTGAGGTGTGCAGGCCTTGTGGAGGTTACTTACCCCTCTCCTTTCACTCTCACAAGAGCTGTCTCATGAATAAAGAAAAAAACTTAGAGAACCTTTTAGTTCCTTTGAGGAACTAAAAATAAAGAGAGAACCTTTTAGTTCCTTTGAGGAACTAAAAGAATTATGGGACTAGCAGATGGCATAACGGTTCCATTGCTGGACTCCCATATCACCCACAGCTGTTCGAGTCCCAGTCCCGCAGCTTCAAACTCAAAGCTGGGCGTGTGTGTGTGTGTGCCCAAAATCCTTTAGAAGCAGGGATTGCAGTGTGTCCATCCCTCCTGGGGGAGAGATTTCTTGCTTTCTGTCTCTGTGTGTCCTGCGAGTGCATGTGCCCTGTAGCAAAACTCTCTCTTAAAAAAAATTTTTTTTTAGACCTGGATTATAGAAATTAAGTGACAGTGGTGCTATAGAAATCAAGTTGCAGAGCCAGCAGGTGGCATAGTGGTTGAGGTGCTGGACTCCTACATGGCCAACTGCAGTTCAAGTCTGGGACCCGGTGTCTTGAGAATCACGCTGGGTGCGTGTGCTTGCATGCCCAAGATGTCAGGAGGAGAATGGAGGAGGAGGAATGTAGCATGGCCATCCCCCTGAGAGGTGATTTCTCACTTTCCCTCTCACTGTCTTTTAGGTGAGTGCATGCGCCCCATGGCAAAAGCCTTTAAAAAAATAATAATAATAAAGTTGCAGAAGTTGAAACTAGATCATGAAGGGACTTGAAAGCTTTACTAAGGAGACAGCATAGTGATTAAGGACTTAGGGCCCCATGAGTTCTAATCCTTCCCACCCTTCCTAGTGCACTGATTTTTAAGAATTATTTTATTTAACTTTATTTCGATATTTATTTTAATTTGTCCAGAGAGGGACAGAGTGAGAGAGAGACAGAGAGAGAGATGGAAAGCGAGAAAGCAAGCTGCCAGGTCCGGGACTCGAATCGTGGTCAGCCATGTGGGAGTCCTGCACCCCTAACCACCACGTCACCTACCGGCCCTGCTAGTGCACTACTTTTAAGCTAATCACTAATCTAATGAATTCTCAGGTTCTTCTTTAAAAGCTGGGAATCGTAGGGCCAGTCTGTGGCATGGTGGTTAAGGTGGCTGGATCCCATATGTGAACTGTGCCTTTTGAGTCTTAGACCCAGTGGCTTTAAAAACACACTGGGCACATGTGCATGCCCAAAACCCAAAAGGAAAATGGAGACAGAATTGCAGTCGTAGCCGTCTCACCTGAGGGGGTGCTTTTTGTTTCTCTCTCTGTCTGTCTCTGGCAAGCACATGAACCCTATCACAAACTAAAAAATAAAAATAAAAGCAGCAAACCAAACCGACCAAAAAATGAGAATAATAGACTTTGGTTTTTTTTCTTAAAAGCTTTAGGAATCATTAAAGTGTTTGTTTGTTTGTTTTGGGTTTTCTTAAAGAGATTTTTACATAGGGCACGTATTCTCACTGGAGACACAGAGAGAGAGGAAGTGAGAAATCACCCCCAGAAGAGACGGTCACACCACAATTTCTTCTCTATTTTCCTCTTGGGATTTTGGGCTCGTGCATACATGTGCCTGGTGTGAGTTTCAAGCTGCCAGATCTGGGACTCAAACCGAGGTTGGCCATGTGGGAGTCTAGTGCCTTAACCACTATGCCACCTGTTGACCCCTCATCAGAGGACTTTAAACATAGAGACCTGATATGGTTTGTGTTTTAGGAAGAACTCTCTGGTGAAAGGTGAAAAATAAATTGTAATGGTGTGACAAATAAAATCTAGGATGCTAATTGGAAGGGGTACAGAATTATGTTAGGCCCAAATTTGACTATGTAATAGCAGATTTAGTAATAGAGATATTCAGAATGAAGAATAGGCAAGACTTGTTGACTGAGGGTTAGAAATGAGAGAGAAAGAAGTATTGGGCTAGTGGTGGCATCATGATGAAGGGGGCTGGATCCCACATGGCCAACTGCGTGGTTCAAGTCCTGGATCCAGCAGCTTGAAAAACACGCCAGACGCATGTGCATGCCTGCCTAAAATTCTGAGGACAATGGAGGAGGAGGAATTGTGGCAAGACCATCCCCCTGGGGAGTGATTTCTCATTTCCCCTGTCCCTCTTTGTCTCTGGTGAGCTCATGTGCCTTATAGCAAATTAAGAAAAGAAGAAAGTGTCAAAGAAGCTACCATGTTTTTGACCTGGGCAGCTGGAAGTTGACAGTGCTGTTCACAGAACCCAGGAAGGACAGTAAACTGGGAGTGAGAGAAAAAAGCCTGAGTTTAATTATAGACATCTCTTGTTTTTCAGAGATTTTTGCTATAGGGTGAGCGTGCTCACCAGAGAGACAGAGAGAGAGAGAAACAGAGAGACAGCAAGAAATCACCCCCTCGGGGGAATGGCCACACCGCAATCCCTTCTCCATTCTCTCAGGTTTTGGGGCACACATGCACACACACCCAGCGTGAGTTTCGAACTGATAGGATCAGGATTCCAACCATAGTTGGCCATGTGGGAGTCCAGTACCTTAACCACTATGCCACCTACTGACCCTATAGACATGATTTTTAAATTTTTATTTCTTTCTTTCATGACAGAGGAAGACAAGCCTTTCTCCTTTCTAATGTGTCCCCCCAGCTTTTCCAGCCAGTCAGACTCAGGGGCCTGTGCCTGGTGTAAGCAGGTGAACCAGGGAATTGAACCCAGTATCTTCCATACGGATCCAGCACACCTGAGCAGTGTATTACCGCTGCGTCCCCACAGGACCCTCGACATGGATGGGATGCTTGGGTTCATCCAGAGAATGCCACACGGGCAGGCAGATAGGAGGCAGTGATGGACGCCCTGGGAATGAACTAGAACTCTGCTGGACTTGGAAGTAACCAGGCTGTCCTTCCTCTTTCAGACACAGAGATTGACTGGAAGGCCTACATGTCCCAGGTGGAGGGCGTCATCAATGGCACCTACGACTATACCCGGCTGCGGGGCGACACTGGACCCCTTGTGTAAGTGAGGACAGAAGGTTCGGAAGGGTAAGAGGGCAGGCTGGGTGCCAGCGGGGTGGCCTGGGCCGTGCTCACCTCCCTGTCACCTTCCAGGTACCCTGCTGGCTTTGTGTACGTCTTTATGGGGCTGTACTACGCCACGGGCCGGGGCACCGACATCCGCATGGCCCAGGGCATCTTCGCTGTGCTCTACCTGGCCACCCTGCTGCTTGTGTTCTTGATCTACCACCAGACCTGCAAGGTGAGGCCGTGCCCGTCCTGGCCGGGCCCATCCTGGCAGGGCCGGGGCGCGGGGCTGCTCGACTGGGCGCTGACCTCGTCCCCGTTTTGCCCACCTTCAGGTGCCTCCCTTTGTCTTTTTCTTCATGTGCTGCGCCTCTTACCGCGTCCACTCCATCTTCGTGCTGCGGCTCTTCAACGACCCAGTGGCCATGGTGCTGCTCTTCCTTAGCATCAACCTCCTGCTGGCCCGGCGCTGGGGCTGGGGCTGCTGCTGCTTCAGGTCAGCACCTCTCCCTCTGCCGCTGCGTGGCCATCTTCCTCCCTGGTGTCTGTGGCAAGGGAGTGAGGGAGTGGCCCTGACACTGACACACTAACACACAGCCTTGGCCTGTCCCCCCCCCTTGC